ATATGAAATTATAGTTCTTTATTTAATTTACACAAAGCTTTACAGGAATACATCTGTTTAAAGCAAATTCATGAAGTATGTAACTAAAACGGGCAGTGAAAGGGTTTAGGTGGAGGGCACCCGGTGGCTCAGTCGGTTAAGCATACAACTCTTGATATCAGTTCAGGTCATCATCCCAGGGTGCTGGGATCGAGCCCCACATGAGGCTCCACACTGAGCGTGGAGTCTGCTTGGGATATTTTCTCGTTCTCTCTCTCTCTCTCTCTCTCCCTCTCTCTCCCTTTCCCTGGACGCCTCTCCCTGGCTCATGCTCTCTCTCTTAAAAAAAAAAAAAAAAAAAAAAAGGCAAACTTATCAGTAGAATGTATCTATGAAATACAAAATTCTGACTGAAATAAATATTTTTTCTGGGCTCTAAAACATCTAGGTTACAGAGTAGTCTTTGTAGTGAAATCTGTCAATATGCTCAAACCCATGCAATTCCCATCCCTCTCTCCCCTCCCTGTCTCCTCAACTTGCCATGGAATACACAATGACTAGTTCTACACTTAGCACTCATCTGTTTTCTCCACCATCTCAATGGCCAACACAAGGCATAGTCTTGTTTAAAACCTCAAGCAAAGGGATTAAAGATACATGAAAACATCTGCTCTCATCTTCAAGTCAATAATGATGGACAGGAAGAGCAGAGAACTAATACATTCCTCCTGAAAACACATACATATGAATACACTTTGTTCTTCCCCAAAATACCAAAAGGATAACAGACAGCAGTTCATGCCCACAAACCAAAACACAGTTGTTTCATCTAATTTTAGAAAAAAAAAATAACAAGGAACTGGAGAAAAGTTCTCTCTGAAATAACTCAATCCTCAAATCAGGGAAATTCAAAGAGCATAACATGGAAAAACCAACAGCCTCAATTCTCCCCTTTGGGATACTAATTCTATCAGCCCAAATCAAAATAAACACTATGTTTATAGAAGATCTGAAGAAAATCTATAGAAAAGTCTGAAATCTCTCTTTTTCAGAAAAGAAAAAGAAAGCCCCCTTACAAAGAAGATACCTAAATATATTATTTCAAGCACAGGTACTCTATGGTTTACTCCAAACCTGTTTTATTTTTTTGTGCCATATTCTTTTAAAGACAAGCTTATAAACATATTTGTTTCTAAAAAAAAAAAAAAAAAAAGATTCAATTATATAATTACATCTGGAAATACCCTTTTATTTATAAAGTCTCACAGCCAGGTTTTTCTTATTTCATTCATTTGCTCAGCCCTAGACTTATACAGCTAGTTGTTCCCCTTCTGGAAGCTGTGAACAAGAACCAGTCTAATTGTACTTGAAACAAGTAGTCTCAAGTACCGTGCAGATGTCTCACAAGATTTTGTTTAATCTGAGTAAAATCTTCTACTTCTTTTCCCTGAAACCTACAAGAGTAGAAAGAAAATATAAATGCAATCTAATTGTTTTGGTGGGAAGTACTGTTCATATATTAGGGCCCTTCATACCAACTCTCTAAGAAGAGAAACCCTTTTTAGTAATCCTCGGGAATTTGTCCAAAATAAAACACATGCATTTAAACCTGTACCCAGAATTAACTAGGTAAAATTGGCATTAACAAAGAGGACAGCTGAATAACCCCAAACTGCAACAGATATATACAGAAATTTAAAGTGTCCTTAAGAGGATGTGGGGAGCAAGGACAATTATTTCACAACAGTCTTACCTCTATGAACCGTTACTACATTATGTGTGTGTTCTGGCCTTTTTGCTATCCAAGAGTTCAGGTGAACAGGAGGTACAATTTCCACAAGGCAAAGCCCTCTTCTGGACAAAAAAAAAAGTTTTTAAAAAAACTTAGTCATTAAAAGATTTTTTCAGGGGCGCATGGGTCGCTCAGTCAGTTAAGCATGACTCTTGATTTCGGCTCAGGTGATGATCTCACAAGTTCATGAGTCCATGGAGCCCTGCACTGACAGTGCAGAGCCTGCTTGGGATTCTCTCTCTCCTCCTCTCTCTACCCCTCACACTCATGCACACTTTCTCAAAATAAATAAATTTTTCTAAAAGGCATTTTCTAATGAAAAGCATTTACTCTATCAAACCAAGACTACCTAATTTCAGAAACCTCATTAAGGCACAACAATATATTAATAAATTTTATGTTAACAGACCTAGGTTATATTTCTCATTGGGTTACATGGATCATCAAAAGTTCCTAAGGGAGGGAAGCCTGGCTGGCTCAGTCCGTACAACATGTGACTCCTGATCTCTGGATAGTGAGTTCAAGCCCTATGTTGGACATAGAGATTACTTAAAAACAAAATAAAACCTCCTAAAATAACTGTTCAATTAAATGAGAAAGTGAATAAACTGTTTTCTAAGCATGTATAAGACAAGTAATCTCAAGCATTTTTGAGATGTATCACAACTCTCAAAGTTATTTAAATTGTACCAAAGAAATACGATAAATTCCCAAAGGTTCTAATCAATGCCCTATTTATTCTCCACTTGCTCCAGCAAATCCCCAATCCCTCCTCTGCTCTGTTCCTGCCCTAGGAGGATGAGCCTTCACAGACCATCACCTAGGCTCTCTAGCTGGGCTCCAGCAATGCAAACCAATGAAGGAGACCCAAAGAGAGAGGGAGGTCAGGGAACTTTCCCTCCCTTCCTGCCAACAGGCCTGCCTTAAAGCCACAGTTCCCTGGGGGCCTCCTCCACAATTCTAGCTCTCAACTCTCAGCTCTGTAATCTCTGGAGAATTCAGGGTTTCTCACCATTGCTATCCCCAGAGTGCTTCATTCCACCCTGCCACCTGACTCCCCCCCCCACCCCCACCTTCTTGTTTGTTCTCTAACCTCAGTAATCTGTTCCTTTGCACCCTTAAGGATGAAATCTCTTTCCTGCTGGGAACTTGCCTGATACAGCTAACAATACCAAGTCTGGTTGGTTCAAAATAGCACATTATCTAAAGATATCCAATTTTAAAAGGTTAACATCATCTTCAGAGCTAGTCAAGTATTACTTATTTGTAACACTGCTGTTTGTATAATTGTTTAAAAATTAAATATAACCAGCTCACTTCCAAATGAAGCTGGTTAAAAGCTGAAAAACTTATTGCAATTAAGTGTAGGTGTGAAATTCAACACTGCACTGCCCTCTCAAGATAAATGCCTATAAGCCCCAAATAAGCTTAACAGGGGGAAAAAAAATCAATGAGGGATTCTGGTAACTGATACTTCACTTCCTTCTACCATACACTGCCTGGTTAATCCAAACAATTTTTGTTGTTGTTACTGTTAAAGCCCTCCCTAGGCACAAGATGAAGAAAAGTTGTAAACTAGTGGTTCTCAAATTTTGGTGTACAAGTAAATCAACCAAGAAGTTTTTTAAAATGCTAAGCCCAGGGCCCACCCACACCTTCTTGACAAGTGTTTTTACCAGTTCCCAGGTCATTCTGATGCACACCTAAATTTCAAAACCTTTTGAAACTGGCCAACTTCAAGATTCCACCCAAATCTCCAACACATTTTTTTTCTTTTTGACTGAACATTTCATATTAAATATTGCCAAACAAAAAAAAAGTTAAACATAGTCACAATACTAATGCACACTAATTATATACCACTGTGATATGTGTTTCACATGTATTATTATCTAATTCGGTTCTCACAAGAACCACACCAGGTAGGTAATATTGCCTCCATTTTACAGATAAGAAAACCGAAGCCCAGAGAAACTAAGTAATCTAACCAAAGTAATGACTGGCAAAACCAGGATCACCTCTAGTCTTCCAGTCCCTCTTGCATATACGCTGGACAAGCAAACAAGCACTTGTACCTAAATGCAACTCTGGAGCCTCAGGACTGTCACAAAAAGGATTAAGCCTAAGGGCCAAGCAATTAGATAAGCAATAATTGTCCCTGTCCACTCCCTCCCCACAACAAGCTCTCCTGACTCCCCACCCATCACTCACCAAGGACTCCCATCTACATCGTATGCTATCACACAGTAGTAGAACATCACAAGTCTATGTATCTATCAGCATTCTTTCTACTCTTACCTACTGCATGCTAGGTATCTCCACACTCCATCTCCACCAAGGACTGATTGTGAGCTTGAGCAAACTTAACATCTCTATGCCTCAGTTTCCCAATCTATATGTTATGGGTCATAATACCAAGTGCACTAACGTGACACAGTGATTAGCTGAGACAATGTACATCAAGTACTTGCTTGACATAGTATCTAACACACAGCAACAGCAACAACTCAATCAACAATAGCTGCTAATCCAACATATCAATTGCAGATCCCATTTATTTTCTCCCAGCCTTGTTTCCTGAGACTGTGATAAAAGATGGAACACACTTTCATCAGGAGTAGACGGGTAACAGTGTTATAACTCAGTGGACTGAATGCCACACATAAAATATTTTAGAGTAAAGGAGTCTTTTAGTAGCCATCAAATTGCACCACTTTGACAACTGTCTATTTCCCAACTTTAGGGTCAGCCCTGTTGATTACATACTAGTATGAAGAGTCTGTAATTAACTTAATTCAAAACAACAATAAAATGTCATTTAGCACAGGGACTTAGTCTTAATTTATCACTGTATCACCAACACTTAGAACAGTGCCTGGCTCATGACAGACACTCAAATATCTGTTAAGTGAATGAAGGCATAAAGTAATGCAGAAGGCAATGCAGACACACCTTAGCTCATTAGTGAAGCTTTACAAAAAAAAAAAAAAAAGCATAATTATCAAACCAATATCAATGTGGCAAATAATAAAAGTTATTTCCAAAATTCCTCCAGAATATTTTTTTTTTTTAAGATCAAAACATTTATTTTGTGTGTGTGTTACAAGCACACACAAAAATCCAAGCAGGTAATGAATAAACATTTTTGTAAGTGTTCCATCATGGGTTCTCTATCCTAGAATTTAGTAAACAGTTCAAGTTTAGGTTGCTTCAGCACCACCTCTGGATGCTACGAGGTCTCCACCTTATAATCACGTTTCTCTAGCTCAGCTTGTAACTGATTAGAGATGTCATCCTCTACACCGTCATCATCCCAATTATCCTCCCAGACACGTGCGTGCATCTTCGTCTGCATCTAAGCCAGCCCAGTCTTCCACAGGGAACTCCTTGAAGTCCTCGTCTTCCTCCAACAGACCCAAGCCTACGAGCTGCTTTTCCTCTAACATTGCGACCCTCCCCACCAAAAACCTCTCAGGCCTAGAGGAATGTTGGAACTCTCACATTTCCTCACCGAAGCCACTCAAGCTGCTGCTGCCGCCTCTGAAGCCGGCTCTACCACAGAGCTCTCCTTTCTTTTTTAAAACAGATTTGTGGGCTATCCTTTAATAACTCTCCAACTAGAAAAGTTAATTGGACCAACCTCAGCTCTATTAATCTACTAGAAATGTTAAAGTAGTTCCATACTAATGCATCATGCTCATCCCCGACCTTTTACATTAAGGGAAATAAAAAGCTAGAAACCATTGAACAATTATCACTTTAGTGATGCTGACTTTTCAGAATTTCTGGAACCATTCAAACTGAAACCACAAAATGAAGTCCCCGCTGAGAGGTGAACCCCGACTAACACCTAGGAGATAAGAGAACTGTCATCTACTATGGGAACACACAGAGTTCCACTCTCACTACTCTTCCAAGCAGCCACATTTTTATCCTTGAACAAGGTGCTTAATTTTATTGTCCCCATTTTCTCATCGACAGAATAGGAGTAAGTCTACTTCAACAAGTTGTTTTAAGCACCAAATGTACATAAAGTAATTTCCAAAACAATGAAGTGCCATACAAATGTAAACTGTTAAATTTGATATAAACTTAATCAGATTTTAAATGGATGTTTCTATTTAACTTTCTTTTTATGTCTCTGCCACTCTTTATAATTCCCAGATCCAAAGATCTGCCAGTACGCAGAAGAACCATTTCTGCCTAGTCATATTTCAAATATACTAGGCCCTCAGTAAGTATTCGTTGAAAAAGATGTTCATCCACATATAAGAGAAATTTTAAAATTCTGCTATATGCAATACTTTACCTTGTAAAGGTTAAGTAGCAGGTTACTTTCAAATAAAATAACAAGTGATGTAACTTGTATAAAAGATGCCTGTGGTTTTGTCAAGAGCACCACCTTCCTTTGTGCACATTACTCAGTCTGGATATAAATCTTCACCTATATGAATATCACCCAAAGAATGCACTTCAGTATTTTGGTTTCACTGGAGTCATGCTTTCTGCATAGTAAAGGACTTCCCTTCTCTTTAACACTAGCAAGATTTCTGAAGATGCCAGAATTTTTCTTCCAGTTTTACATTCTATATTTCAGCACTTTACAGGGAGAACTTTTGGTGGGCTTCTAAGATCTCAAACTACCAGGTCATTCTTATACTATATAAGAAAAAAGTTTATTTTTAAAAACCAAACATGGAAAAATATTCCAACACTTACATTTTAAGATTATTCATAATTAAGAGTCCACTAAATTTGTCAAATAAAAGAATACTGTTTTAAATGGTAAACTTTCTGGTTCCTCTGAATATTATATAATACCTCAAAAACAGAATTTAAACTTATTTAACGTTGGTTAGTTCTTGATTATCTACACACATACACACAGAGATGTGTTACAGATCATCCATTAATAATTTATATTAAGCCCTTGCATTTACAGTTGAATATTAGTATCCTCGAGATGCAAAATTCCTAATAGTTCATAATGAAATATCTGTAAACACAGTCACTCAATTCAGCTGTCCTACCAGTTTTCTTCTCACTTACCCAAATACAACTACATTATTCTGCTGAAATGACTATTTTGTTAAAAAAGGAACTCTGTGTGCTCATTTTTGTCCTTTATATTTATTATAGCTTAAAGGACATTCCTGAAATAAACACAGGCCATAAAAAACTGTCCTAATAGTACTGGTGACAATTTAATCATCATTTGAAAACAAGCCCCCCACTGGGGCGCCTGGGTGGCTCAGTCATTTAAGCGTCCGACTTTGGCTCAGGTCATGATCTCACAATTTGTGGGTTCAAGCCCCACATTAGGCTCTGTGCTGACAGCTCAGAGCCTGTAGCCTGCTTCCGATTCTGTGTCTCCCTCTCTCTCTGCCCCTCCTCACCTCAAGCTCTGTCTGTCTCAAAAATAAATAAACATTAAAAAAAAAAAAAGAAAAGAAGGCCCCCACCACCAGGATTACAGAGTTAATATGCAAAAGATAGCTACTGCATTTATGGGCAATGATCTCTCTCATTTGAGGAAAATATAAAGTTCTATTTTAAACAGGAACACTATACTATTCATTTTATCCACAACCAAAACCAGTGTTATTAATTCTAATTCCTATAAACCCATCAAAATAAAGTGCACAATATGTATAATATTCTAGAATTTACATCAGAAATGATAAAGCAGGGTGCTTGGTTGGCTCAGCTGGGTGAGTGTCTGACTCTTGATTTCAGCTCAGGTCATGATCCCATGATTGTGGGATTGAGCCCCAAGTCAGGCTCCACGACGGGCCTGTTTAAGATTCCCTCTCTCTCTCCCTCTGCCCTACTCAGGTACACTCTCTTTCTCTCTCTCTTAAAAAAAAAAAAAAAAGGAAATGATAAAGCAACATTGTATCACTGTTCAAAGTTGTCAACTTAAGAATGAAAAAACAGAGAATTCAACATTAGTTCCAGAACCACATTCATGACCTATCTCATTCTCACTCCTGTGTGCCTTCTTAAAGTTACATTCTTTAACACAATACCAGTTCTGCAGGCTTATCTGAACAGTCTACCAAATGAAATGAGATCAAGGAAACCAGGTCCAATGGAAAGGACACGGGTTTCATGGTCAGAAGACTTGGGTGTGAATCTAGACTTTGTTCCTCTGAAGCTACAAAACCTTGCACAAATATTTAATCCTCTAAGCTTAAATTTCCTCATGTGTAAAAGGACAAGACCACCAACCTTGAAAATTATTTTGTAAATCAAATCCCTCAGTTTGTGTTCTGATTATGGCAGATGTCTAATAAATGGGTGACAATCTTATACAACTAAAGGGCCAGTTCACAAATTATTATGAAGTACCTTATTAAGGGGATCACAAGCTGTATGAGATTTATTAAAGCTGTAATACCTTTTTCAGCTGAAAATGTTTTAATATACAGAAATGAAATACTCAGAGGTTAGAAATCTTTTTAAAACTGACATTTTAATATCAAAGTAAAGCTTCAATGATCAACAGTGAAAACTGATTTTTTTTTTTTTTTTAATGTTTGCAGTACTTCAAACCTCACATGGTCAAGAATTTTAAAACTCTCTGAGAGGAGCAGAACCCAGAGACAGCCCAGTTATCTAAACAATGGGCTACATGATACGCCACAGTCTCCAGGCAAAGTCACAACAGGATGAGAAAAGAGCCTTCAGCCTCTCTCAGATTTCCTGCCCACTGTTATTTTAAAACTTGATCATATAAACATAAACAGAGGGGAAAAAATCCACTTCAAATAAGCCCTGTGGGTTATGATTTATGATCTGTTTTTAATATTATACATTAATTAACCTTAAATATTACAATAGTTCATTACATTTTTCTTGCTTACATTTCTGGACACTAATGAAAAATATATGTATACTACAATTTTATATATTATATATTTAGATTTTTTAATCACAATAATCTTTTCTTAAAGTCTTTCACCACTTCTGTTACTGCCTTTTTAAAATTAGTTTTGGAAAACAAAAATGTAACTCAAACTGGGAAAACAATAAATAGTATGTCACACAGACCATACAAACACAATGGGCAAATCTGCTTAAGACTAAAATGACTTCTGTTTACTACTGTGCGTATAATTCCTGCGTAACTTAAAATACTCAAAACAAGCTGGATATTTAAAAGTCAATGAGTTATTTTGAACAGTTGCATTGTTTCAAGCTCTGGCTACAGCCCAATTTGTAATGTTTCTAAAATTAATGATAAAAAAACACCAACGGAAGTTTTTCACTAAACAATTTCCAATTGTAAAACCACAGCACAAGATATCTATGAAGTTTAGTTAACTTGTACAGATATGCCATTTTCCTGCCAACCTTTGTACCATGACCATTACCAGCCCAAGTTCAAGATTCACATTTCATGGTGTGAACAGTGTCAACTGAATCTTAAGAATTTTTAAAACTCTCAAACCCTGACTATATTGAGATACACTGCATCTACACTACCAGAGCATAACAGCAAATGAAACTTTTATTTAGCATGTACAGCAATCTGTGAAGTTGAAACACTGTTGCTAGTTGTTCACTAATATCTGTAGATTAGGATATAAGCATTCCTCCACCACAACTTTATACCAGATAAAGTGTAACTTGTTTTCTTAAATTGTATAGAAAACTGTTCTTGTATAGAAAACCGTGTTTTCTGACACGGGTGTTGTAGTAACAACCCTATCGAATTATTTCCTACTTAAAATCCCAGAGTTCGAACATTTTAATGGTTTTAAGGAGTTTCTGAAAATTAATAAATATAAAAAGCTCTTGTTCAGTAGCACGTATATAAATTAACATACTCAAAATACTAGAGAACCTAAAAACTAAAAATTCAGCTTTAGACAGTCCCAACCTGGTCTCCTACCTGATTAAACTATTAATTTAATAGTGGCTGGCACCTGATCCTTGTATCTCAGAACAAAGAGCTCTATTCCTACACTGAATTTTAAGCTTGTTGCCTTAAGATAAAACTATCACGGAGTGTCCAAGTCAGAATGGGACACCTGAGTGCCCTGCTTCTACCCGGGAGCTCGAGAAGATACACAAAGGTATCTTGGTGACGATAAACCCACGAAAGGAGACTCTCATTGTCCTGTGGAAATGAGAACCAGCCCTGGCAGTTCCATGAGCCATCGCCGCCGCCGCCTGGGCCGGGCCCACCCATCACCTGCTTCACCCACACGCGTCCTCGGTAGGTGAAACCAGCCGTCAGCCCCCGAGCTGCCCGAGGAGGCCCCGAAGCAGGGCCGGCCAGGGGAAGCGAGGCCCTGACGCTGGCGCCCCGAAGCAGGGGCTCAGCGTCACTCACCGGTGCGGACGCGAGGGCAGGTGCGCAGCGGCGAGGCTACCTGTGGCCGGTGAGGTGGAGGGCGGGGTGGGAGCTGATGAAGTTGAGCGAAAAGGCCGACGACGT